CAATCATTTCCTAGAAAAAGACATTACATTTGCAGTATGATTTCAACATATCACTTTATAATAGAACAATAAATCAAGAGCATCTTGAAAAGGAAACCATGAATAATGCATACTACACCACTTATATGTAGTTTCAGGTGTAGTTGGAACATACTTCCAAAAAGATTTATGGTCAGTAAAATTAAAAGAAAGACTTCTATACTCAACATCAAAATGTTATCATTTATTTTGTCATTAGTTAAGTGTGTTAGTTATTAAGAAATTACTTCTTCAGTATGCCATTTGTCATTTCATGTCCTATAGCACATTAGTGCCTGATTTTGTTAGTGAAACCTGTAGCTACTTGCTTTTGTAACAACATATAAAATCCAGGTGGAATAGACATATTCTCAAAGTTAAAAAATACTGAGATTTTGTCTCCTAAATTGTTTACAGACAGCCTTGACCCCTCCCTCCCCAGTGTTATTTTGTACACTTGTGACAATAATGACATTTATGATGGTCCATGTAGGAAGCTACAACTAAAGTGTCATCTTGCCCAACTAGAAGTTTTAATGATAGTTTTTTATGTACTCTTACACCTCAGACATTAATACCTCTAATTGAATAATGTAACTAATGTTGAATGGCTAAATTATAAAATAATTACATTTCTATTGATTTCCATCTTCTGTGTTTCCTAGCAACATTATATGGCACTTTTTTTTCCAGCAGTCTTATTAATGCAGATGAGGTCGATATTCTGCCAGGTTTGAAAAATTGTTTTTTCTTGTGAACTTGCCAACTTACTTATTTAGCTTTATTCATGCATGGCCTGGCACATGTATGCAGGTGATGGCTTTATCATGCAGTTGCTTTGTTTTTTGCCACCCATCTGGCAAATAACCACTGTGAATTGTATGTAGTGCTGCCTGCAATTTGGTCACAGATATTATGTTAATGATACTGTCTGTCTACAGTTCATTGCTTTAGCAATCTACAGAAGAGCTTGCTTTATTGCTCCCATCACCATCCTTCCACTGCTCATAGGAAGCTTGAATCCTTCACTAGCCTTATACGGAATGTGAATTTCCAACCAGCTCTTTCACTATTTGTAGTGTAGAAACCATCTGTGGTTACAATGACAGATGACTGTCCACCATGGTCTTTAAATACATGCTGACAGGCTTTTCGTGTTCTACCCTTACCTAGTCTCAGCTGATTTCCACAGACCCCCAGCGGCATCAGATGTTTATTCCACATGGGAACATATATCTGGTGGTGAACAGTTATCTTAGTGGTAACTGTATAGCACCTGTCCACCCATGACTATCTTCTGAAGCAACTTTTAGACAATCCCCAGCTTGGTTTATGTCTGTGAGGTCATTTTAAAGCTGCA